AGTTCGATGTTCTAGGTGGTTGAGAATGAACCAGCTCGATTTGAATGTGCTGTTATTGGTAACCCTCGGCCGAAGGTTACATGGTACATCAATGGAAACCAAGCTCTTCATGTAAGAAATATAATTTTTACAATCCTTTCAAAAATTTGAGTAAGATTTCTATAGGGTCATCGTTACAAGCTCAACTATGATGGTCTCCATTACCTTACCATTAATAACTGCCGTATTTCTGACGCTGGTGAGGTTACGGTAATCGCCCGGAACAGCGAGGGAGAAATTCAAGCGACTTGCCCGTTGGATATCTTCCAGGTCGGCTCTAATTGGCTGAAGGATTACGGTAGCTTTGATATCGCCTAATTTTACAGAAGAAAGACTTCCGACAACTGCAACTCAAACCGACTCAGTTTGTTACCAGTGAGGAATTGCAACAAAGGCAATTACAGTGGCAGAGGGTAAGATTCTTATTCTGGAAATTTTCCAGGTTTACAAAAAATTTCCGTTTCCAGGAAACCCTCGGCAAGTTGGGTGAAGCATTTGAGGCAGCACCACGGCCAGATACCCATAAGCTTTACCAGGTTGAAAGGTAGGTATGAATTTAAGGAGTTGAAACGAATACTGCCACTAAACGCTGCTTCCGCGGACAACTGGTCCTTTTGCTCATTCTATAACATATCGTACAAGGATTGTCGGGAGAGCCGGTGCGTAGTGGCAGTAGTCCCTCTACCTCTTTGGTTTACCTTGTGACATAAAAAGGCTACGGTAGCCGTTTGAGGAAAATGTATTTAAGCTCAAAATTTTTGCTGTGGGATAAAAATTTCTTTTTTAGGACGAAATACCCTGTCGAACCCCTTGAAACCGAAGAGCTTGTTGACAAATTCAACAGACCCCGAGACGAAAGCTTCTATGATCAACTTGCCTATGTAAGTCAAGAATCTGCTCCCCAGTTTCTGTTGAGAATTTTTCTCCATTATAGGTCGAACAACCCAAGCCTCAGTTCAAAATTATGGAACTCCCACCAGTTCAGCTCAAACCTGGAGAGATTTCCAAATACGAACCACCACGGGAAGAAATGGAGAAGGTAAAAGGAAATTTTTAATGTTTTTCCATTCTTCTGTTCCCTTGCTCAACTATCTTGAGCTTCAGGTACCTCTCCGACCTGTTCCTGGACAAAAGAAAGAGAGACAATTGCCACCTGCAGAACAACCCAACTGGGCCCAAGGAGGTGTGCTGCCTGGAAATGTGGAAGGACGATTTAAGAAGTTACCCAGCCCACCCAAGGAAGTTGAAGTTCCTGCTCGTGATCAAATCACGTTGAAAACGGCCAAGCCGAAACCAGCTTCTGAGGTAAAATCCATAACTGTTTTCAAGGGTCCCAGAGCGAAAATTTTGCAGTTTAGGTGGAGACCGGAGAGCATGTCAAGATTGCCGAAGAGAAGGCAAGGTTGAAGGCTGTACAGCAGGGTCCTGAACAACCAAAGGAGGAGATGGTACCACATAAGCAACAAGTCGAGCTGAAGGTAAGTTATTGTGCACTTAAAGCTTTAATAACAACTTGCTTCAGCTTTCGGGGCAAACTGCAGTATTTTAGAGATTATAGAGCCTCTAAAGGCAGTGTCTCAACGGAATTGAAGTCGCGCGGATCTTCACATATTCTACTATCAGAAAACAAAGTTTTCAGGAACTTCGTGTTTGGTTT